ATAACCCAGAAAGCTACTCAAAAGTCAGATTGTTATAGTAAAACATCTCAGACAGGCTTATACCTGTAGGTGGCCCATCAACATACCTTACCTCTGACAGACCAACTCCAATTGCAAGATTGTATAAAAAAGAAACACACAGAGAGACAACCATAAATGAGCCCCAAACCATGGCCAACATACAGGGACCTTTAAATTGACCAGTCAAGATCTTTCCCAAGAGACTACCTATAGGATCAATGCAGTATTGGCCATGTCTTAAAAGGGGTGGTAATAGATACAAAACAAACAAAACCACAGACAGACAACCAGAGGGAATTCCCAAACCCAAGGCCATGAGAACCTAGAACAGATCAGAAAGGAGTCAGTATCCCTGGGTTCTTGAGTCCTGCTTAACCATGACTCCTTCACCAGTGGTGCTGCAGATGTCCCCACAAAGAGGAACCAGATGTTCTCGTGAAGAGGAATCAGATGTGTGGAATCAAGGGTCTCGGCGTACACACTGGGGGACTTATCAAATGGCCAAAGGTGTCACGACTTTACTGAGTTCAGTTTCTTTTTCTCAAAGTGGACCATGGTGGAGCATCCTGTACTGTTCAGGGAGAGAAGACAGGAGTTCCCCGAAGCAAAAGGAGCTTCGGCAGCTGCTGGGACGGTCCCTCAGTCCCTCCTTTACTCACAGGAATAGCTCCTCTGGTTTGACCCAAGGCAAACTCACCTAACTCTCCTGCAGTTGGCTCTCAACAAGTTTGCCAATACCGTGCATGCTCAGCATGGAAGTGGGGTTCCTTGGACAGCCATCAGCCGTGCCTGCCCCAAACAAGCTACAGCAGGAGCTGCTCTCGGGCCCCATCTGGGGTGCCAAATTTGTTGCTTAAAGCTCAGTCCTTGTCCCTGATGCCAATCCAATAATGAGGACACGGTTTTGAGAAAAGGGAAAAAGACAATTTATTGTTTTGCTAGCAAAGAAGAAACACAGGGGACTCCTGTCCAGAGGCTATGATTCTACGAATGTTCTATTTCTCAAGAAGTGGTTACATGTGTATATTTATCTGGGAAAATCTTCATCCTACTGTACATTTGCAAAATTTGCACTCTTCTATAAGTCATTTATAAATTTACTATATGATGAAGAAGTAAATTAAACTTTAATTTGGGATCATGTGTTATTGTCAGGTGTGATCTATACCCTTGGATAAAGACTAAAGCATGAGCAATCCTGGTTCAAAGAGTGCAGCAATTAATCAAATCTATACAAAATGACTAGTAATCATTGACACAAGCAAGAAAGAAGCTGACTGGTATAATTTTAGCATAGGTAGCATACACTGTTCCATACTGCTTCTGTTTATTTCTTGTTTCCATTAAAAATCTGGGATGCCCTCACATTTACAAATTCAGGAGGGCCTGCAGTTTTATGATATGGCAAAGATGTTATTAATGATTAAGACATACAAAGAAACTTTCTCACACAAAACAAGAACTGTTAGTATAGGTTGTGAAATTAGCACACTATACAGGAAGGTTTACAACCTCTTGCTGAAGTTACCAAACAAGTGAAAAAAAAAATTGTTGAAAAGGCATCACATACTGAGGACATCTGCTATAGTGTTCCATGATGGGCAGTGACTAAACTGAGAAGACATCTCTGCAGACAACTCCTTTATGCATCTCATTACTGAAGGCTGTGTAAGACATCTGGATCTGCCCACCCGGTTCCAGACTACAGAGGACACACTGGATTTTGCCTACCTGAGATCCCAACTCACTTTTTCCTCTGGAAAAAAAATGCTCATTTGGTGAAGTTCAAATGGGGAATTGTGTCAGTCAGCTTTTCATCACTATAACAAAATACCTGAGATAATTAACTCAAGAGAGAAAAGATTTATTTTGGCTAAGAGTTTTGGAGGTTCAGTCCAAGATCTTCTGACTCTATTGTTTTGGGCCTGAGGCAAAGAAACAGCACATCATGGCAGAAGCACGTGGTGGAGAAAAATTGCTTACATCATGATCCAGGGAGCCAAGATAACAAGGAAGGGGCTGGAGTCCCATAAGTCCCTTCAAGAGCACACCATCCCACGATGACCTAAGGACATCCCATTACGCCCCACCTTCTAAAGATTCCACCACCTCCCAAGAACACCACCCTGGGAGCCAAACCTTTGACACATGGACCTTTGAGGAACGTTCAACACCCAAACTATAGCAGACTTCCATCACAGTACTCTATACACTACCCTAGCCTGGGATCTATTTCATCCCATTGGCCACAGTGGTTGGCTAGTAGCTGGGCACATAGCGTAGCTCATGCCGGGGTTCTTCCTTGAATTCCACTCCACAAGTAAGGAAGATGGTCTCAAATGCAAGCCTGGGGCTGCCTAGGGCCACTTTTCATGGATTCATGGAGGAAACCGACCTGATATAGAAAAGTATGAGGGCTTCAGACCTAGAGACAAAAACAAGCAGAAATAAATCAGGGAGGAACTGACCACCAGGTGCAGGGCACCTGCTTCTTGTAGATTCTCCTTCCTCCTCATGAGTCACTCTGGATCTTTCTCAGTCATGGCAGAGAAGAAAAGGTCTTTTTTCATAAGTAGTTTGAATTGGATTTCTGCTCCTTGGCAACAAAAGATTTAACAAACACACCAATAAACATGGAATCAGGAGTATAGTAAAAGTTACAAGTAATCATTTGAGGGGAAGGGCTAAGGCCACAGAGCAGTCACTACAGCTGATGTTGGCCACCTGGAGGAGCTGGGCATCCTCACTCTCTTAGCTGCCAGTTCATGGACTCCGCCATGTGACAGTATCCAAGCCCAAGTGTATGTTTCCTCAGTTCCTTCCTTTATCTCTCCCCAGGTTTTACTGCAAAAATTCATAAGCCTCTGCCATCTACCTCAATACCTGTTTTTCTTCCCCAGCCCTCACTGCTTTTATCTTATTTCCCAGACACAGTAAAGAGTAACTTCCACTCCTGAAATCTCTGTGAGGTCAGAACCCATCTCAGTGTTATTCACTGTTATGAGTGTCCACCTTGCCCTATGTATCCGCTTTTCCTGAACTCTACTGCCAATGTGAGCCTTCTAAAATCTTAGCAGTAAGTGGAACCATATGCTGTTGAAACTGCTATGTATATGTTAAACTTGTTCATTTTTTGTTGCTTTATTCTAAAATTTATTTATTTATCACATGGAAATTGAGAGGCAGTTATACATCTCTTCAATATAGCATTTGCTGCCTGGTATTATTATAGATGTGTGTGTGTGTGTGTGTGTGTGTGTCTGTGTGTGTGTACACCAGACCATTCATGCCTGTGAGCACAGAGATCATGTCTTACTGCATTTGTATACCCACCTTTTAGCACAAAGCTGTTCTGTTGAACGGATGTCTGATATCTAGCTACCATGCAAAAGTGACTCTTAACACTCCATAGAACCTTTCTTTTTAGAGGATCCAGGGACCAATAGCATTAGCATCCCTGGGAAAGAGGGTTGCAAATGCAAAATCTGGCCCTCACTTCTGAATTACTGATTTGTAAACCAGGTGTTTTGTATGAAAAACAAAGTTTGAGAAGTGCTGTCTTAGGGAATAGAAGACCCAGAAAGAGTCTATGGAGGGATATGGTGAGACAAACCACAAAACAAAAGCCTGAATGATCCAAAGCGGATCTGTAAAGGTGGAAAGTTCAGACCATTTTGGAGGAAGTGGGAGGTCTTAGATGGCTTGGAACAGATGTGTCAAATTGAGGAGGAGCCACACAACTGCAGCAGTGTGTAGCTGTGGGTGGGAAAGAGAGAAATGGCTGGATTCAGGAAGTGCAACTGGGGAGGAAAAGCTGATAGACTGGGGTGCAAGTAAAGCTGCGACAACTTTGGAGTCAGAAACTGACTGACAGGAGAAGGAAAGAGAAGGCAGAGAGAATCCAGGAAGTTGAGACTGAGTCTGCTGGATTGCAGTAGAAATGACAGTAAGCAGGAGGGGGAGGCAGATGAGTCCTGGGATTATGCCTCTGTAGGACAGATTTCCAGGATCCCAGGACCTGCACACCATCTGTATTCACACAGAATATTATGCCTTTTCTTTCTCACATCTTTAAACTGGGAGACCATATTTAAATTTAAGAGCTATGAGATGCTGTTTGTTGTTGTTTTAATCTAGAGGAGACGTGGGCTCTTAAAATTAGACAGCTACTATTAGGTCCTTAATCTTAGAATTGATTGATGTGGTGAAGTGAAAACAATAAATTAACAGTGCCACTGCAGCACCTAAATGAATCTGGTTTTGGCCAGCATCCACAGGAAGCTTCTGCAAAAATGAGTTTTTCTAAATCATTTACATTTGAAAGCACAGCTCAAGGAGCACATAATAAGTGCAATTCGGAAATAATAATGATGATCCATATAGCAGCAGCATATATCCAGTTAAGCATATGTTCCCTGGGAACAATAACAATAAACAAGGTCCAGAACACAACTAAGGAAAAGGACCCCTTTACAATGTGGATAACTACAATTCTAAAAGAGCTCCCTGAGTATTTGCTGTTTCAAGGATCTGCCTCCCTAACATGGAAACTCTGCACCCCTTGTGCTGATCCTGAATACAACATCACCCTAAGCAATTCTTTCGGCCATAACTATAGCAGTTTAAGGAGCTGAAAAGTCGGGCCCCTGGAGGGTAGGACTCTCCAGGGAAACCACAGGAACGAAATAGGTCACGGGGTTCTCAAGAAGCGCTCTCTCCCCCGTCCCGCAGGGGCGCAGGCCCTGAGCCGCCAGCCGGGGTGGGGTGCGGGGCGCAGCAGGCGGGCAGGGTGACCATGCATTTCTCAGCCTGCTGTCTGTGTGCGCCCTACGCCCTGGGCAGCCCTCGCCTGCCCGCGCCCCCGCGTAGCCCAGACTTGTGAGGGCGCGCGCGGCCTCCCGGGGCTCCCGCGGGCGGGCGCGCACGAGGCGGGGGCCGGGGCGCGCGCGCGCGCGCGGTGAGCGTGCGGCAGGGCGGGCGTTGTAGGGAGAGCTGGGCTCCAGAGCCGAGCCCGCCGCTCACCTGCCGGTGCAGCTCACCTGCTGTGGAGCGCGAGCCCCGCGACCTTCTGGCCCACTCCGGAGCGGGGCCACCGCCCCTCGCCGCTGCGGGCACCAGCGCCGACATGCCACACGAGTAGCCCGCGCTCTTTGGAAGCACCAGAGGACACCCCTCGATCTGGGCGTGCCAAGGTGACCCCCTCGATGACCCCCCGCCCCTGCGGGCCGTCCGTACCCGCGCCCTGTCTGTCACTCTCGCGTCCGCCGTGCTCCCCAGCCGCGAGGGGAGCAGCGGCAATGCATGGGCATCCGTCTGTCTGTCTCAGCACCTCCATTGCATACACCTGCCTTTTGTGGTCCTCCCCGACTGCCCCGTGCACACGGCGGGGAGTCTGGGACCCCCTCTTTGTTCTGGTGGGGGTGTGTGTTTGAGGGTGTGCACTCGCGCGAGGGATGATTTTGGAAGGTGGGAGTTCGAGGCCATTTAAACATTCCATTGAGGATGGCGGTCCCCGACTCGAGACTTGCGGCTGCCGCGTGGTGTTTTGAGCAGCTGCCCAGATGTGAAACAGTTGTTCATTTTCAGCATGCAAGATGTGATTCTCAAATGTGCATTCCCAGCGCTTTGGCGAACAGACCGCTGCGAGTCCGTGTGTGCCCACATCGCTCACGCTCGTGTTTTGAAGTCCTACCCTGTGTTTTCCCCAATGCCAAACGGCATTTTTGTTGTGGGGTTTAATCCACGGAGACTTTGGCTTTTGTTTTTAAGTCACCAGTGTACAGTTCCCAAAGCTTGTGTCATTTGATTCTGGTATCTGAGTAGGCGCTGGCTTTCTGTTTGTGTGTGTGTGTGTGTGTTGCATGATCGTGGATTGTTACCCTGCTATACCGAAACATTAAAAAGCCTGTCTTTTCGTTGAAGAGGACAGGGGTTAAAATGAATGAAGACCTGAAGGTCAATTTAAGCGGGCTGCCTCGGGATTATTTAGATGCCGGTGCCAACGAGAACATCTCAGCCGCTGTCTCCTCCCAGGTTCCGGTTGTAGAGTCAGAGCCTGAGCTCGTAGTCAACCCTTGGGACATTGTCTTGTGTACCTCAGGAACCCTCATCTCCTGTGAAAATGCCATTGTGGTCCTTATCATCTTCCACAACCCTAGCCTGCGAGCACCTATGTTCTTGCTGATAGGCAGTCTGGCTCTTGCAGACCTGCTGGCTGGCATTGGACTCATCATCAATTTTGTTTTTGCCTACCTGCTTCAGTCAGAAGCCACCAAACTGGTCACCATCGGACTCATTGTTGCCTCCTTCTCCGCCTCTGTGTGCAGCTTGCTGGCTATCACTGTTGACCGCTACCTCTCGCTGTATTACGCTCTGACGTACCATTCCGAAAGGACGGTCACATTTACCTATGTCATGCTGGTCATGCTCTGGGGGACTTCCATCTGCCTGGGGCTACTGCCTGTCATGGGCTGGAACTGCCTGCGGGACGAGTCCACTTGCAGCGTGGTCAGACCTCTCACCAAGAACAACGCAGCCATTCTTTCCGTCTCTTTCCTCTTTATGTTTGCACTGATGCTTCAACTCTACATTCAGATCTGTAAGATTGTGATGAGGCACGCCCATCAGATAGCCCTGCAACACCACTTCCTGGCCACATCACACTATGTGACCACCCGGAAAGGGGTCTCCACCCTGGCTATCATCCTTGGGACATTTGCTGCTTGCTGGATGCCTTTCACCCTCTATTCCTTGATAGCAGATTACACCTATCCTTCCATCTATACCTACGCTACTCTCCTGCCTGCCACCTACAATTCCATCATCAATCCTGTTATATATGCTTTCAGAAACCAAGAGATCCAGAAAGCCCTCTGCCTCATCTGCTGCGGCTGCATCCCATCCAGCCTGTCCCAGAGGGCACGATCGCCTAGTGATGTGTAGCAGCCTTCCACCTAGAAGGACACTGCCTATGGCAAGCACTTCCACTGCCCACCCAATGGCTGATGTGCTCCCTTAAATTCTTTGCATTGGATTCTCTGTCAAGCCGCAGGAATACTTAGCATTGGTGAAGCAATGACATCATTTAAATGAGTTAAGTGACTGAGTGAAAATGATGTTACCAGTGTTGTCACTTTTTCAAAAAAGTTGTTGACTGCTCAGCATTACTTCTTGTTTTGGGACAAGGATTTTGTTTTATTTTATATTTGGGGGTGTTGTTTTTGTTTTATATGGTGGTATGTGGGAAAGGAAAGGGTATGACATGGCCATGATGTTAATTTAAATAAACAAGTTCCAGGGTTTTTACCTGGACTTTAAAATAAATCTGAGTTATTAAGGAAAATGGAGAAGGAATTACTTTTTCTGAATTTTCTTTTTTTAAAAAAAATCAAAGTAGACTTTAAACATTGCATGTATTGAACAGAATATGATCTTTTTGAAGCCAACAAAAATTATTTACATAATTATGCTTGGAAGGGACCTGTTTCTTATAGCATAAACTTAATAATGAGTTACCAACACTGAAACCATGAACTCATTCTGATTCGTTCTTTGTTTCCTTTGAGTGATTACTGTTAATAAGAATTACTTTGCAATTTCTATAAATGCTGTGACTCATTCTGCATGGTTTCCTGTGTTAGTTAGACCACTAGTTTCAAATGTTGCCATGCAAATCTAGAATTAAGAGAGTCATTTTTCAGTACATCCATTCTAAAATCAATTATACATGAAATAGGATTGATTAGACCCACTATTGTAGTTTCTTAAAGTATGATAGTTTTCAGGAAACAAAACAAAAATTATTAATGATAACTATTGAAAGCAGAATAAGTTTAATATGTTCTGAAAAATAAATTAATGTGAAGCTATCATGAATTATGCAAACATCACCTTTCCTATCTCTCTTTAAGAATATATTAGTGGTTATTCTTGATTGAGATAAATAGAATTGAATAGAACAAGTTTTTCTTTTTATATTGTCTGTAGCAAAGAATACATTTGAAACAGGTGGTCTCCTATTTAATGATTAAGTTTGTGAATGAACAACATACATACATGACTGTGGTATGTATCTGCTATATCCTGTGATTTCACAAGCAGAATAATCAAATGGTTATTCATGAAAAGTTAAATTTGAATTTTTCCTTCTTTTTATATATAGACACACACATACACACACACACAAACTTAAATGCAATAAAAATTGTATTGCCTGTTTTTGGAAAGCAAAGATTGCCTTGGGAAATTTCACAGAAAAATTTGACTTTAAATATACTTTAAAGTCACCGAGACTGCATGTCATTTCTGTTAGTGTAAAGAGATGAAGACACAGTTACTGTTCCTTTATTTGTAATGAAATTATAGCTGTGTCTATGTAACCAGAGAAGAATATCTGGACAGCTCATCAACATTCCCACAGCAGCAAGATCAGTATTTCAGGGCCTTTGGGGAGGGGTTGTTTGTAATAATTTAACTACATTGGTTTGTTCCAAATATTATGCTCATAGTGGTCTTAGGATCATTCCAGCAGCCTCTATGCTGATACTATCTCTCCAAAGCCTCTTCTAATGTAGCACAAGTGTGACTAAATCTTCTACTTGAATCTGTGTCTCCTCCCTGAGGTTACTTAGGGAAGTGGGAGAGGGACTGAAATATTTAAGAAATGAAAAAGGATTTTTAATGCATCTTGCCGCATGAACAACCTAATCAAGTTGATGCCTTTAAAATATATTTGAACATTGGATAGACTTGGTAGTTTGAATATGATGAGTCTGTTCATTTTTAATCACTTAAAATTTCATAACGTCTCTCTATGGGAGAAGTGACAAGGTAAGTGTTTTGACATGGGTTGGGGAATATTGATGAGGAGGTTTAAAGCAATAAATGATGCCTTTGTAGGAATTGTGGCTCCCATTTGCATATTTCAATAGTAAGAATTATAAGGATGACAATATGAACTGCTATAGACAACATAACGGGTTCTAAGCCCCCTGCTTGAAATTTTACCTGCTCTTTAGCTTTAGTCACAGAAACACACTTTTGCAGGTCAGAAAACTAAGAATCAGAGAAAAGGACAAGAAATGTGCTAAGTCTACAAAGCCACAGGGTAGATCCCAAATTCGAAGTTGGGTTTTCCAAAGCCTAAGTTTTGCTCTTTCTTTGCACAATGCTGGATGTGGGGGCAAAGGAAAAAGTGCTTTTTAACATGTTATTGTTACAAAAATTTGGTTCTATAATTAGGAAATAAAGTTTCCTATTTTAAATGACATGTGAAATGATAGCCAATATGGCTGTAAGTAAAGGAGATCTATTTGTACCGTGCTCTGTATGTATAATGATCTTGTAAATACTAGCCCCATGGCTGCTTTTGAGCATTTTTAAAATAACAGATTTCAGTTAAGGGATTCTTCAGTTCAATTCTAATGTGTCCTTACAGTTTACTTTAAATTATGAAGATTTGGGAATGTGTAGGTGGTTTTCTACAAGGATGCTTTGTTTCTATGAGGTTAATTGTTAAGTAATGTGCATGTATGTCAATGTATTTGTATATGTTTACGTGTGTGTATGCATTCATATATTCAATAACATTATCTTGCAACAGGAACGAATACATATGGAAAACTCTCAGATTTCCAGCAGCCCTGAGGTAGCAGGTAATCTTTTATTCCATGTAGTTACTATTTCTAGTTTACAAGGAATTTATATTATTTTCAGTGAAAACAGTTGTCTTTGAAGATGGAGCAATTTACTTACCTTATTAGAATCCTTAGCTGAGGCTAATTACCCAAGTGGTGGATAGCCAAAGTCATATTTCTTTTTACACCTTAACTCTTTATTTCTTTTTATCAATCAAGTTCTTTATTTTTCCTTTTTTTGTGGTGCTGGGAATTGAACCCAGGACCTTATACATAATAAGCAAGTGCTCTAGCACTGAGTTATAACCAGCTCAAGTTTGTTTCTTCCTGGTTCCTGTGCAGGGGCAATGAGGGGAAACTGAGCCCCTTCTTCCCTGGATGCCTAAATCGAATATCAGTTCAGGTGGGGAGAATTCCTCAAATGACTTGTCATGCATGAATAGTCTTAGATTCCTCCAGGATTTAAGGCAGGATTGAAATAAGAAGTTTAAAAGAGCCGATGAGGGGCTGGGGGTGTGGCTCAGCGGTAGAGCACTTGCCTTAGTATGTTCCAGACCTTGGGTTCGATCCTCAGCACCACATAAAAATAAATAAAGATACTGTGTTCAACTAAAAAAAATAAATTAAATATTAAAAAATAAATAAAAGAGCAGATGTAGAACAGAGATATTTCATGTCAATAACAGTATCTTGGAGAGTTCTTAAATTTTTTAAGGAAGTTCTTAAATCATTACTAAAATAATTAATGATTGTCTTTATTTCATGGTCATGTATATATCACGTGAAATTAGAACGACTTACCATTTTAGATTATAAATATATATTAAACAAGTGACATTTATGGTGTTATTTGGAACAATGTTTACATTTTCACCTTGATTGTATGCCCACTATAATAAAGGAACAGATTGCTTTTTTTTTCTTTTTTTTGGTTCCCTTTGAAAGTTTTAATGACTATTGGATGGTCTTGGTATCTGGTTAGAATATTTAAATCTGGTTCAAAATTCGAGCATTATGGAACTAATAGTTTTATACATCATGGTTTTAATTAGCAGACAAATTTGTCTTCTAGAACAAAATGCAGAAAAAAAAATAATGGTTATGTTGCCTAGGGCTTCCAAGGTTCAATTTTTAAAGGGTATGCAAATCACTGGAGAGTCTTATTAAAATGCAGATTATGTGTCAGCAGGTATGGGGCATGGCTGATTTCTCAAAAGCTCCTGTGTGATGTTCATCTGATGGTCTGTAAATAACACTTGGACTTCCAAGTTTAAGTGTCACATTTTCAGTATTCTTAAAATATAAGTATAACATATAAATATTATATACATAAATATACATTTAGAGTGTCTATTTTTGTCTGAGGTTAATAACCAACCTGTGTTCAATGGATATGAACTTTAAACTTATACTAGAACTTCTCAGTATGATCTAAAAGAGATCTATGGACATATTTTTTATATGTTAATGTTCTCGATTTAAACTCTTAATTCTCATTATCTTAAAGAAAGTTCTCTTGGGAACTTCATAAACAGGCAATACGTTTTTATACGTGTGAGTGAATACACGTAGCAACCAAGATTTCACCTCCTTTTTTTCCAAAGATGATTTTCTTTATGATTCCAGTGATGTGTCTCCGGGGCTGTGTGTACCTACATGAATTCATCTTGAGAAGGGTGAGACAGAAACCTTTGTTCTTGGTTCTAAGATTCATCTACACCCATCTCAAAGTAACTTTTTTTTAGACAGGTAACCAGAGAGATTTTAAAGTATCTCATCTTTATTTTTTAGCAACAAAAATACTGTTAATGTTAACATTTATCCTATGTATTCCATATACTCTGTTTCCTTCCTGTGGAAAGAGGCACAAACTATCATATCCAATTGAAGAATGTAAGAATACATAGTAGAGGTGGATGTTAACATGTAACTTAAATATCTCGTTTGTATAAAATATCTATAGTAGAGATATAGATTTTTTTTTTTTGGTACCAGGGATTGAACCCAAGGGTTCTTAACCCCTGAGCCACAACCCAGTCCTTTTTTAAAAAATATATATTGTATTTGAGACAGGATCTCACTAAGTTGCTTAAGAACTTGTAAGTGACTGAAGCTGGATTTGAACTTCTGGTTCTCCTGCCTCAACCTCCTGAGTCACTGGGATTAGAGGTGTGTGCTACCATGTCTGGCTAGAAATTTTAAGTCATCAAAATTCAAATGCTAACTCTGAGTATCAGTGAGCAAACTCAATTAAAAATAAATTTGGAGAGGGCTGGGATTATAGCTCAGCGGTAGAGCACTTGCCTAGCATGTGCGAGGCTCTGGGTTTGGTTCTCAACACCACATATAAATAAATAAAATAAAGGTCCATTGGCAACTAATATACATGTGTGTGTGTGTGTGTGTGTGTGTGTGTGTATTAAAAAATAAGTTTGGAGCAAAAATGAAAACATTTAGTGGTACACAAATTCCCTTGGTTCTAACTATTTGAATGGACTATTTATAGTAGAATATTTATATTTTAAAAAGTGAAAGAGCAGCATTTTGTTTTCTAAGAAGCAATGACTTATTTAATGGGAGTAATGTTATCTGGTGTTTCATAACCTTTCCATAATATGTCATGGACAATAGTTTCACATCTGCAAGTGTAGAGCTGTGTCTTCTTTTTATTTTATTCCTTTTTAAAAAATTGGTATATTATACTTGTAGTGTACATTATTACATGCTCACAATATAATAATAAAATTTGTCCACTAATATTCCCCAGTATTTCACCTTTCCCTCCCCTCCTCTCACCCTGGTCTTTTTCCTCCAGGGATCTCCCTTTGATTTTCATGAGACATCCCTCTAACACTTAAAAGATGAAAGAGCATCTTATGGAATTCTATCTAAAGATTGGGATCTGCATTTATCATCAAACAACATACACTGAATCTATGGGATTCTTATTTGGGCTTCTGAAAATATGAACCTTTCAAATAATGAGGGACAGTGACCTTTTACAGGTATGTGGTTACTAGGGTGTAACCTAAGGGAAAATTGATTCTGATCTAACCCTACCTTTATTCCTTCTAGAATCCTTTTGAATTGTGAGCAAATTTATTGTTGGGTTCTATAGAATCTAAGAATTAGAAGAAAATTTTTGAAGCAAAAATTTCAATATCAAATCTAAGTCATTTAAATCAACACATTTTTGGAAACTGAAGTTCTACACTTTCCCTCAAGGCTTAGCCATGACTTTATATTCCTAATCTCGGTCTTATTATACTCTAGTTCTATTTTGTCTTAGCCCAGCCCCTGGAAATCCAGAGAACCCTGTTAGTCACAGTCAACACTTACATATTGAAAATATTCATTAAATAGTATTGTTCTCCTTTTCTTAATTTAAAACACTTATTCTCTATTTTATTTAATAGTCTTTTGATCATTTTCCTGGTGTTTTTTCCTCATATCCTATACTATTCCTTTATATACCTCTTCAAATCTATTAATCAAAATGGGGAATAATTCACTAAATGGAGTGAGACCTAAAGCAGAATGTTAGAATTTTCTCCATTCTGCTTACCGTGTTTCTTTGAGTGTGGGCTCCAACCAGCAGTAGTAACATCTCTTAGGAACATGTTAAAATACAGAATTCTCAGGCCTCTTCCAGACTTGCTGCTCAAAACTCAGGTTGTAGGGCCCAGAGATGTGATTTTAACAAGTTCTTCAGAGGATCCTGATGTACACTGGATTTGAGGAGCATGCCATATAACTTTAGCGGAATCTTAACATTAACCTGGTGTTATTTATGATGTTAACTGCTCAGGGTAACTGGAACCTATGAACTTTTTCTGCTATGTCTATGCCAGGCTGTCCTCGCATCAGACCCTCAGGTGATTTTGGTTTGTAGATGGGCCGCCTTGTACTGATTTCTGCAGAATTTCTTGTTTTCAAGGCTATTTTCTAGTTCATCAGGCTCAAATAACCTCTGTCCCTTCCATTGGAATTGTACCACTGTCAGCATCTGTGCATCATGTACCTCTGATAGAAAGAATGCAGAGAGAGGAAAAAAGTCCAACGAGACTGTTCTTTATCCTGTCCTGCTCATGACCTATTTGTGAATGACCAGAATAGTCCACAGCCAGGCTTTAGCTATCCAGCCACACCTTATGTGTCCATGCCCTTGCACCTTCTCTGGTCATGTGACTGTGCACACATGCATAGGTGCACTCTCACACTTCTCCTGTGATCCTACACACTTCCACCTTCATTCTCCAATCCCAGACCAAAGATCTTCAGTGAGAACGTACCAAAGCTATGGCGCTGACCAAAGTTGACCTTCAGGCTAGTGCTGTGGCATCTGATTGGCACAATCTTGGCAAGCTTCAGTGGGGATAACACTTCTATGACTCTATCCTGAGAACCGTCCTCAGGACAGTTGGCATCTTACCCCATCTTTACACTAATCTTGTTGCCCACTGGTTTATAGTCCAGAGAGATCAGTAATAGGAGCAATGGACAGGTTTGGAGCAAGTTTTCTTAATGCTAGGGACTGACCAACTTGCACACATGGACACTTAGCCTAGAAGGATGTCCTTCTCATGAGTGCCCCTCTTCATTTCAAAGCACTATTGCTGATTTGTACAGTTTCATTTAGAATCATTTGAAGGTAGGACAGCATATTTCAAGCACTTGAAAATGGGTATGATTAAAGACACTCTCTGTTGTAAGTTCCTAATGCAGTCCGAGGAGCAACAAATCCAACCGTTTAGGAAGCAGAGTACCACCTCCCACTGTATATAGACTTTGGGACAGAAGCAGGTATGCTCCCAGACCCACATGAATCTGTGATGCATTTTCACCTGAGAGTTTGGGATGTCTTCCTGTTACAGAGATGAGCCTGGGACATAGACTTCCGAGGCTTGCATCCTTGCCTGTTCCTTCCTACTTGACTGGCCTCAGAGCAAACCCCAGAACCTCTCGCAGCCTTCATGTTCTAATTGGGTAGAGTAAGCATGCTCCAGGAAACTATCTCGCAGTGTTGGGTAATATAGGACACAGGGAAGGTTTAACATAGATAGTACAGATAGACGCCAATTTAGGATGTTTTGCCTTTACAATGAAGCCAAAGTGAATCTCATTTGTAGAAACCATATTGCCAATTTTGAATTTGGGTCTTTTCTTAGGCTATTGATATTTGGTCGGATCTTTTCTTGGGTTTCTAGGTGGTGGCAGTAACCACAGCTCCTAGTAGTCCTGGGATCATGAGGAGAAAAACCTGACACTCTACAGAGTACTATGCAGCTAAGTTGGGGCATTCGTGGGTTAGGAGCATGAAATGCATCTTCAACTTAACAGTGTTTTCCATTTATGGTGGATCCATCAGGATGTAACCCCATCGTAAGTCAAGGAGCATCTGTACTCACACTTAACTACTTGGTGCCACTTTCCCTTAGTATTATTATGACTACTGTTGTTGCTTACACTTGCCCAAGGCCTTGAAATTACTAATATTGCTTCCATTACTTAGTGCGATAGGTACCCAGATAAAAGCCCCACATACATTATCTGGCATACTGTTTTCAGCAATGCTCTGAGGTATGCATTGCTAATCTCCCACGTCATAAATAAGGAAATGGATGCACAGAGAGGTTAAGTGAATTTCCTAAAACTACGTAGACTTTATATAAGTCACTGTGAACATTAGAGACAAGTAGTGCTTACTAGGAGATGCCCAGTGAAGTTAGTGAAGGATGGCTGTTCATACGAGGGTAACACGACTCTCCAAAGGCAGCTGGGCTCAGAGCCAAAGGGATGGCCCAGACACCTGCAATCACTCAGAGACCTGAGGTGGGCTCTGGAGGGCAGGCTGGCTCTCTGGAGACAGTGGGGTATTAATGGGTCTGAAGGAGCAGGGTGGACTTCTGTGAGGTCAAAGAAGCCCAAAAGTTTCCCTGGAGAGCCAACAGTGGTGGGATTCAAAGGACTGACATGAAAATGACTTGAGCTTGTTCAGAATGGGGCTGACTATTCATTGAATTTTGTTTTTCAAATGACATTTAACTTGAACCAATTCTCATATACAAAACAAAACAAAAAAAATTAGGTTTCAACTGCCTTTAAATGAATCCCAGTGTAATCGCTAAAACCTCACATTTAGGTACTTTGCAAACTTTAATAATGTAAGGTTTTAAAAACTTTATTCATGTTTCTTGAAATCCACCAACAGTGTGTGTTTAAGGGGGGGAGAAAGCCCAGTGACCAACAGATAGTATTTGTGTAGACATGGATTTGCATGAATAAGAATACTTCTTTATTGTAAAAAATCTACTATTTTACATGCAGGCTTTCCAAACATAAAGCACAGCACAGAATTTTTCCATTTAAATAGATCTTTTAGATGTATTGGAGTCCTAGGTCTACATTCTTAAGCTGGCTAGTTCTTTCCAAATGCCTCGCTTCAGGGACAAGGAAGCCCAGGCCAGGGAAGGCTGTGGCCTCTAAATGTCATTAGCTGGAGGCCCAGAACATGTACTGGAATAGTAAGTCATCCAGAACTTTATTCTGGGGCAGATTTTCATTGACAAGGAAGAGCTGGAAATATAAAAGATTTATCTATTGTACGTCTTCTGGGTCTGAATGATTTTTTGTTACTCCTGACTATTAGACATGATGGTTACAGTTGAATAATAATTATTGCAATCAGGACTAACATTTTCTGCAGTCGGGCACTATCCTCAAATCAAAGTTTTACAAGTATTGACTTATTCATTCTTCACATCCACAAAGGATGCATTTGAAAGCACTAATTCTAGAATTGAAGACATGTAGACATGCAGACCCAGCAATCCATGGCCCATCTCCTCCTGTTTCCTTATCCTGTCTCTGCACACACAGGAGCTCACTAAATTTTCATAGTGTCTGGGCCAAAATTCTCCAACAATCTGTTGGCTTCATAAATTGACTATGCATTTCAGAAATCACTGTATGTTCAATACAGGATGTATGATGTTTGCATGCCCAACATGTGACATGTTAGTGTTTTGAGTCATCGTCATTCCGGGCTGGTAAGCTTTAAAAAGAACTATGTAGAAGTCCAGACTGCACTTCCATCCTGCCAGAAGGAAAGAAGCTGGAGCCATATATCTTCAGAAGTGTATTTTTCCAAGCCTTTTGAGAAGGGGCAGGGAAACTCCTTGCCAGACAGGTCAGTGAACTTGTGGAAATGATAATGACTTACTATCCTTAAAAGTCACAGCAAATATTAAAATGCATTGGGTGGTTGATGTTCCAGACATGATACCAAGTACTTATACCTAAGAACCACTTTCAGTCTTTGTAATGACCCAATGATCTTTAGGCATTTTTATTATCTCCAATAAAAATTAAGGATTGAAAGACTAAGTTATGTACCTGAGATCTTCCATTCATAGGTGGCAGGTCTGTCCAACACCACACCCACCACCTGTGCCCCTGGACACTATTGCCAGCCATCTGTCTTTGAGGGTTGATTTCTGTGTCCCCCACAGGCTCTACTTCATTGTAGCAGCAGTAGTTGCTCAAAACTTCTTTGTAACACCTCTCAATAGAATATTTTCTTGCTCCATAAGTTGAGCTGGGTTCCTTGCTTCTGCCTGAGCCACCTGTGCACGACCTAGGTGAACTGCGCTGAGTGTTTGCACAGGGGATGAGTCCATTCTACTCTCTGCCACCACCATCCCTCTGCTGAGCCCATGGGGCCCTAGTCTTCTTGATCCAATTTTGTTGTAAGAGTCTCAAGCAGTACTATTTTCAAAGGAAGCATGGAAGACATTTGAAATTACAGAATTTCAGGTGACCTGAAGACACCTCAAAAGAAGCAAATCAACAAAAACAGGGATTCTCTTTTAAAGCAGTGCAGTTGCTTTCTTAGTTCTTTGAGTAAGAAAAAACGTGGATTGGCTATTTTCTTGTATGCCGAGATTGCAAACATTTCAGAAAATGGTCTATCTTTGACAAAAAGATGTTATATTGAGAGTAAAGTGAATTTGGACAACCATTCTAGCTACTCATAGACTTTGAGACCCAAGAATAATAACCCTTACTGCAAGCAACAACTAGTCAAAGTGTGATTCAGCAATGTGTGTGTGTGCACTGTTAATACAGATATAATTTATGCACTTTCATTTAGGTTTTGGCAATGGAAAATCACTGAGGACATATAAAAACAAGGTTGCTTTTCTTCTGCAAGAAATATTAAATAAAATAATATGAGTGCCAAACCTCAGAGTTTAACAATACACACTCAGTCTTTCTACATTTATGTTTTTATGTGTTGTATCTTTAAAAGTAGACAATTTAATAATTGGTGAATTATTTTTAATGTCAATGTCACTGTACATGTTTTGAATTGTATAATTTAATCAATTATTAATGTAATCTATAGTTATTAGTTTGTAAATATTTAGTATAGAAAAATAACAACTTACTTGAAGAACTATCAAGTTTATTCCTGCTTATTGTGATTACCTGAATAAAATGCCAGAGAAGGGCTGTGTGATGAAACTTTCTGGAATAGAATTTTTCTGTATAGCAATTTCTTGCTTGTTTATCTATTGAGCATTGGAACTGACTCTTGCAACTGAGAAATAATTTTTAATTTTATTTCATTTTTAATCAACTTAAAATCTTAAGCCCACATGTGGGTAGTAGGTATCATATTGGGCAGCACAGAGCTAGATATAAACTAAAATACTCATGGAGAAAACTATCCGAGAAATGATTTTTACTATTACTGCAGATGTTCTTTTCAGATATCTGGTTTCTGCCTCTCAGTCTTCTATACTATTTAATTCTTTTCTTAATGTCCTTAAGGTATCAACTCTGGGTTGAACAAACAGCTTCATGAGAGTTGCATGACAGTGAATTGCACTGGAATTAGACACTGTGCCATGTTTTAAGAATATCTAAGGTATAGTGATTTCAACTCAAGGAAACTAAAAAATGAGAAGTGAGTATCACTTTGGACAAGAATTATTACTCCAAAAATTTTACCAGAGTCCTCTTAAAATAATAGGCTTTGTTCACGCCTTCTTTTAAAATAGAAAACAAAGTGAAATGTAACAATTCATGGAACCTCAAAGAAAGTTCTGGGAACAAAACCAGTTCTGTGCTGAGCTCCAGAGCCCACCTGGGGCTGCTTTTGGGTTAATCTGTTGTCTCTGCCAGGGGATGCAGTGTCTACCTGTATTGGTCACTGTCCTGTCAGTAGTGGGGACCTCCTATGAGCACACACTGACTTTCCAGACACTAAAGGGTCTTCCCCATATCAATCAATTTCTGAAGGATGGTTTTCATCTGTGTCTTTTATCAAACTTTCTTTCGTAAATTTTCAATAGGCTTCTAGCAACGTTTACTTCAAATAGACCACATTATGGGCTGTGTCCAAATTCTTCCATGGATTAAATCTTCTGTCACCTGGACCAGGTGTGGAAGGCAGCCTTGCTTCTCCTCCTCCTACTTCTAGGAGAGAGCAGTGGCTGAGGACTCAGATCAGGTGACAAGTGACCACCTGTGGAGCAGGACAGGAGGATGTGTGGGAGCATACAAAATCAAAAGCAGTACCTTCAGTCACGAAGCATCTGTGTTCCAGGACTGGTGGCTGATCTAGTATCAGACAGGAAGGACCTAAATAAAATTGGGAACAGTCAGGTTCCTCCTGGGTAGGGGACGCTCAAGGCAGGGAAAGAGCAACAGTCATCACGAACACACCCACCTTCCAGAACACCTGCAATGAGGAAGACCTTCTCTTGATTCTAATAAAAAACTTTTCTCCTTGAAATTGTGTGTGTCCTAAATTCACAATCTGTTGAGTTTTGAATAATAGAAGGTGGAAAATGCATGCTAAATGACAGTAGTCTTCCTTCTGTATAATATTTCAGAAATCACTCCCCCCACCGGTATTTAATTTGCTTTAATCTCAGTAGGTAACTTCAATATGACACATGTACATGGTACGAGCCCTGGCGCCTCTAATGAAAGCAAACAGCATTAATTTCATGGTGTGACACTGGGTGTGAGCTCCAAGAGGCCACTTGCTCATGGTAATGTTAACTTCTGACTGATTATGTGAAGCTTCTGTAATTAATTTTTGACTGCCTTTTAAGATCCTTGAAATCTAATCTTTAAAATATTGACTATAGAAAATAAATTTAATTCTTTTCTCAATGTCCTTAAGGTATCAACTCTGAGTTTAAAAAAACAGCTTCATGAGAGTTGCATGACAGTGAATTGCACTTTATTTTTATTTTTAAAATGGCACAAGTAATTCATTGTCAAATACTATATTTGCACTATGCTATAACTCTGTTTGTTGCCAGAGAGAAGGTTTTTTAGTTCACGTTGCAATAATTTAGTTAAAAACAGAACAGTTTTCTATGAGGTTCATGACATTTAACATGTAGTAGTTGTGACAAATTTTGTTTTGTAAAAATGTTGTCAATTTCATAATGTTCAAAAATGAGGCTGTTGATTGCTTTCCATTTATCCAAATACACTGTTTAGAAACAGATTTCCTATCTATAGAATAGACATTGGAAGTTTAGGTGTCAGAAAAGCAATACTTTGGAAGGGTAACAAAATTCAATGTATTTTCACAATACATTTGTAACAATGTAACAAAATTAAATTTTGTAAAAAAATTTAGTTTTGTTACATTATTACAAGATCCTAATTAGACTGATATTTTCATATACCAATTTTAGAATGTAGAAAAGTGCAAAAATTATATGGGCCAAGCCCTAAATGAAGTAGCAAATAAATATTTCTGTGTACCCTCAAAATGAATTCTGATTTTCCTTTGACAATTGGTCCTGTTTTAATAATATTTCTATAGTAGATTTATAGTATACTCTTTCCTTCTGGGCTTTGGACAGCTGGTGAAGTTTGACTCCTGCAAGCCAGCCTGTGGGCTCTGGTAGGAGGTCACCACAACAACCTGCAGTAGGCACATTTGATTTCAGCAGGAGCATGGTATAGTGTCAGGTGTGCAGAAAGAGCAAAGACAGGAAGTGCACCTCTTCTGCAGGTAGGGATTTGCTGCCCATCTGGGATCTGTGCTTGAGTGATTATGCACCTGAGGTCTTGCTGTGGTCTGGTCACCTTCTCCAGGACCAGAAGTCACAGGAAGCAAAGCACCTGGGCTGTAACATGGGCCAGAGCCAGGTGAGGAGGCTAAATGCACAGAGGTGAAGCCACAGGTAAGGGGGACTCCAGAGGGTACCTGCTAGGTCTGCTGATGAGCTGAAGGGAACCTGCCCACCTCACCTCAGAGAAAGCATGAACTGTCCTCCACTAAAGGGGTAGTGGGAAAAATAAATACCAAAGGAATCTACTGACCATTGTTTTGAAACATTTTGCACTGGCTTGGAGTAGAAAGATAAGCATTGTTATAAAAGTGTATACAAAGGAATGCTTCTATAGCCTAGCACAGGATCAAACTCCTTAATGCTCTATCTCCCAGGGTAGGTAAGTAGGTAAAAAAGGCCTTTCTCCAAAACAGACCTCAACCTCATTCTTAAGAGTATGCTGTCCACTCCAGTGCAATAGATTCCCTTGTGGGTTGTTGTTGTTGCTACTGTTCAGGATTCTGGTTGGATTTAGAGAATGGTGAACTGGAGAGCTTCCCAGAACAATGGGTTTTGGGGGCATGCGTCAGCTTTACAAAGGAGGATTCTGTAATGTCTGTCCCCTGGGGTTGGTGGCAACTCATGGTCCCTTTGGAAAGAGTGTAGACATATACACTATGCCATTTCCGGACAACCAACTTGGTCCTCACAGCCGCCCACCCCTCACAATGGAGTTGCTTTACAAGATGATGTTTCTTCATCACGGATTAACAATGCACATCTTTCCTCAAAATGTGGCAATTCCCCACAGGGCCATCCTCCTTCCTGTGTGGGGAAACTGAAGTCTGGGTCAGACAAGGTCACCAGATTTGCTTGTGCTTTACCTTTTCAGGTCCCCTTCTTGAAATTGGACAGCTGGTGAAGTGTGACTCCTGCAAGCCAGCTCCCCAGCTCAGTCCCGCCCAGCCCAGCTCTCACTTTTCTTTTTAGTTCACTGTGAATAGAAATAGCGTCCTTGATTTGTGCCAACTTTTTGTTCTATCAGACGGCGTGTCTCAGACCCTCTGATAGAAGAAAAAGTTGGCTACGATCTACATACTGTGGGGTCGGGCTCCAAATTCCTCAATAGGACACCCATAGCACAAAAGTTAATAACTAGAATCAACAAATGGGACTTACTCAAACTAAAAAGTTTTTTCTCAGCAAAAGAAACAATAAGAGAGGTAAATAGGGAGCCTACACCCTTGGAACAAATCTTTACTCCTCACACTTCAGATAGAGTCCTAATATCCAGAGTATACAAAGAACTCAAAAAATTAGACAATAAGAGAACAAACAACCCAATCAACAAATGGGCCAAGGACCTGAACAGACACTTCCCAGAGGAGGACATACAGTCAATCAACAAGTACATGAAAAAATGCTCACCATCTCTAGCAGTCAGAGAAATGCAAATCAAAACCACCCTAAGATACCATCTCACTCCAGTAAGATTGGCAGCCATTATGAAGTCAAACAACAACAAGTGCTGGCGAGGATGTGGGGAAAAGGGTACACTTGTACATTGCTGGTGGGACTGCAGATTGGTGCAGCCAATTTGGAAAGCAGTATGGAGATTTCTTGGAAAGCTGGGAATGGAGCCACCATTTGACCCAGCTATTCCCCTTCTTGGTCTATTCCCTAAAGACCTAAAAAGAGCATGCTACAGGGACACTGCTACATCGATGTTCATGTTCATAGCAGCACAATTCACAATAGCAAGACTGTGGAACCAACCTAGATGCCCTTCAATAGACGAATGGATAAAAAAAATGTGGCATTTATACACAATGGAGTATTACTCTGCATTAAGAGATGACAAAATCATAGAATTTGCAGGGAAATGGATGGCATTAGAGCAGATTATGCTAAGTGAAGCTAGCCAATCCCTAAAAAACAAATGCCAAATGTCTTCTTTGATATAAGGAGAGTAACTAAGATCAGAGTAGGGACGAAGAGCAGGAGAAGAAGATTAACATTTAACAGGGATGAGAGGTGGGAGGGAAAGGGAGAGAGAAGGGAAATTTCATGGAAATGGAAGGAGACCCTCAGGGTTATACAGTGGAGGGGATAGAGAGAGAGGAGGGGAGGGGAGGGGAGAGGTGGGGAGGGGGGAGGGTGGAGGATGGGAAAGGCAGCGGAGCACAACAGACACTAGTATGGCAATATGTAAATCAATGGATGTGTAACTGATGTGATTCTGCAATCTATGTATGGGGTGAAGGTGGGAGTTCATAACCCACTTGAATCAAAGTGTGGAATATGATATATCAAGAAATTTGTAATGTTTTGAACAAC